AAAAAAAATTGTGGCGCCGCTCGGGATTTTCCTCCCAGCCCGAGTTCTAATCTCGATCGGGGGAGAGGTTATTCGACTCCCAAGCCGTTTGTGAGTAACCCCTTAAATGACATATCGAGACTTGAACTTGAGACCGCCAAATTCGACCGTTGGATCAGCCGCGCGCAAGCTGATCCCGCTGGAACACCTGGAAATCCCTTGGGTTGTTTGCAGAAATTAAGATGCGTATACTACGTAGTTAGATGCTAATTTCCGATTCCGCTTAGTTAGAGAGCGGCACTGTATTCTGCTAGTTATAGACCTGAGGTTTGGATAAATTTCGGTGCCGCTGGAAACTCAAGAGTTACTTTCGTTAGCCAGAATTCTGCCCACAGAATTCCGCATTTTTGAGCCGAAATTGAGCAGTGTATACCTTTAATTCGAAACGGTTAGCAACACAAAAGATAACCGTTCGAAATTTGAAAACAGACATACACTGCAAAGCCAATTGAAAGCGCTGAGTTACCTGAGTATCGTTCGTAACTGCTGCTTTTCATTGCAAGTTTATTAAATCAAAAGAGATCGATCTACCAAGCGGTACTGTGCAAAGTAAGATTTGCTTACTGTTGGTCGACTCACTGCGAACGTGAATGAGTGATTTTCTATGCGGAGTTTGGAGCAATTTATCGATACAAGATGTAGCTGAGCTAATCGGTCACTTAAAAGGGCGCGTTCCCTTGGGGTGATCTGGATCTGGATCAGTGACCCAAGATCACTCGGATCACGGTGCATCAAAGGAACCGATGAATCCGTGACCAGAGTGGATTCATCGGTTCCTTTGATGCACTCCATGATCCGAGTGATCTTGGATCACTGATCCTGATCCAGATCACCCCAAAGGAACGCAACCTAATCTCGAGCAGTATTCCGGGGTAGAATTTCGTTGGCTGAACAGAATTTTGAGCAGAAAACGACATAGTTTTTTTTGGTGTTGCCCGCCGTTAGAATACGCCGCCAACTTACGAGCAGAATCAGTATCCGGCAAACAAGTTTCCAATGCGAAGTCTTGCCATGTCATACAGGAATTTTGAATGTGATACTCATATTTCGGTATTCTCCCTTTTCACTGGGTTCAACTGTTCAACTCTCTTAACGAGACACCTGACTAGGGTTTTCTAGCTGCGGGGAAACGACAATTGTAATAATATTAATGTATGAGAATAACAACAGCAATAAGAATGACGCACCAGTGTTCCAAGTATAGTTGTCGCCCACCCTCTCTCACCTCCCCACCCCCACCCAACCGAAAGCGACAAATCGGAGAAACCATGAAATCACAGCCGAAATGGCCCTTCAATCGTGGTTCTACTGTATTAATTCTGACTAGATCTGCCAGGCTTTTCTACGGAAATTCCACAGCAATGGCATATCACTGGAAGTTTTAAGATTCGTTTTGTAGCGAGCAGTCAATGACGCTATAGAGGAAATAACTCCAACGCATGACTTTTGAGACCAGGCGGGCTCGCGAAATTCACACTAATTAAAGAAAACAATAACGTGAAATGTAGTCTGCATTGTCCGCAATGGATCAGTGCTCGACCTAAACTTGAGGGATCTGTTAGTCCATGGCGACTTTCCTCCAGACCAGCCAGCACAACAACCAGGCACTTCCCCCTGCGAACGAACCATCTGCCATACATTAACCAGTCAACATTAACCAGTCAACCTCAATTCCATCACCAGGAGGACAAATTAAGATCAGAGGGCATTTCACGTGTACTTCAGATAACGTCATTTATTGTATTTCTTGCCATAAATGTCCTAGGCCGTCTTAGGACAGTCTACATCGGGGAGACAGGACACAGATTGGCTGACCGTTTCAGGGAACACCGCATCGATGTTGGACACAAGAAAAGTGACTTGCCTGTAGCGCAACACTTCAATAGCTCAGGCCACTCACTAGAAGACGTCGGTGTCGCCGTGCTTAAATCGGGGCTAGCAAAGAAGGATGTCCCCCAACGCGAGGAGATGAGACAAAGGGCGTTTTCCATTTACAAAAAATTTCGGAAAATTTCTGTTGGGAATTTCCATTTGGGAAAAGCGCGTTACATTTGTCACAAGTCCCATTCGTTCACAGGCCCCTCTCTGTCGCTTCTCTGAATCTCCCCGCGAATATTCAAAATGGAGGCCAATGAGGCTCATCAGATGTTGTTTTTGTGCGAAATATTAGAAGTCTCTATAGAGGAAGAAAGTTTGATTAATTCAGAAGATGATGCAGTAGATATCTTTTCAGCGGCCTCGTCGTTCATGAGACGGAATTTGCAACGAACTGAAGGCTATTTTGAACACACGTTTCCAGGATATTAACTCGATGAGTTTAAAAGTCATTTTCGAATGACAAGAGGCACAATGGAAGGTCTTTGCAGAGTCGTCCAAGCTACAAGAAGAGTGCCACAACGTCATTCATTTGGAAGACCACCAATTCCGCTCCAGAAACAAGTATTGGCGTTCGTGTGGTTTATTTCAAACTCGGAAGTTTT